AAATTTAGTAGTTCACAGTTGGCTCTAGAGATGCTCCACAGATAGAAAAATCAGGGACTATGAAGAGAGGGTAATTGAGATTATTCAGTCTGAGTGTTACGGAGCAGACCCTATATATAAACGGGTTGCCTGGCTGTGGGTCCTCATCCACGCGCTTTAAAGGGACTTATACTCCACTACAGGCACACACAAAAAGGTTAATAAAAGTTTTATTTACAAGGATAAGGGAAATGAGGAAATGTACAACTCGGGAGAAAATAAGGAAATAAAGTCTTTAATGCGTCCTACCCGATCCACCGACCTGGAAACCCAAAGACACTCCAAGAACTGGCTGAGCAGTGCGAGCTGGCAGAGAGCCAAAAAGGGAAATTCCCAAAGCCCATGTGTCTGGTTTTATACCAAACCTGGCTACTTAACCCCACCCTCAGGTTCCAGCAATCTTCCCTTTGGTGGTGATGGGATTTGTCTCTCCCAATGTCTTTTGGCTTTGTTCTGGAGTGGGGATGGAGTCCACAAAGCTTGTATGGAATTAGCTTTAGGACATCCTTTTCCCCCTAACATGAGGACTATGAATAAAAAAAGAATGAAGGAAAAATTAAAAGAAATGAGCAGACTAAGACCCCACTGAGCATACCAATTTATGCATAATAGATCCAGAATGATGGAAGGGAGCAAGTCAGTAAAAATATTTGAAAAAATAATGTCCCCAAACTTCCCTAATTTGAAATAAACCATTCATTTGTATACTAAAAACCCCACAAATTTCAATTAGGACAAACTCGGAGATCCAAACCTTCAATCATAGTCAAACTGTTGAAAGTGAAACACAGAGTGAATCTTGAAAAGTGCAAGAGATAAGTAACTCATTACATATGATGTGCTAAATGTAAGATGCCAACCAACCGAGAATTTTATATTCAGCACACTGAGACCTCACCAGATAATTCTAAAGAAATACTAAAGAAAGCTCTGCAGACTGAAATGAAAGTACACAAAGCAATGACTATAATCCACACACAGAAAAATAAGTTAACAAAATAAGTTAACAAAAGTAAAGATAACTGCATAGGTAAGTATAACAGAAGTCCATATGTGTATTTGTGTATAACTTTTTCCTTCTCATCACTGAATTATGAGATGCTTCTGAAGAAGTACTTAGGTGTAAGTATTTATCTATTAAGGCTATATTAAAAAACAAAACAGAACAAAACATTTCAAATAAGTGACTCAACTCTTTCCACCCAAAGAAATTAGAAAAATATGAAACTGAACCCAAAGCAAACTAAAAAAATAAATAAATAAAGATCTGAGTAGAAATCAACCAAACAGAAAAGAGAAAAAATCAATGAAACCAAGTTTCTTATTTAGAAAGAGCAACATAATTGAAAAATCTTTAATTATATTGAGAAAAAATCAATTACTGATATTAATAATTTGAGTATTCTCAGTCCCTCAACTTGCTAATAATAATGAAACAGTACATTACTGTCAACTATTTGTATATAAAATAGGTTATAAGGAAATGCAGTATTATGAATAATTTAGACTAAGAAGTTAGGCAAGCTAGGTAAAACAATACCAAGTACTAGTGATGATGCAAAGGTACCAGAGCTCTCATTCATGTTAGTGAGAATGCAAAATGATATAACCAGTCTGGAAAATGAGTTGGTGCTTTTTACAAAGTTAAATATGTACTTACCATACAATTCAGCAGTCCTACCCTATATATCTTTTCAATTTTGAAATGTTTATTTAATTGACTGGTCAAAATATAACTTATTTTAATTATTTTCATCCGTGGTTTATACATCTATATTATTTTAGGGGTACATTTTTATTCTTCCATGTGTGTATTGCTTCACTCACCCTCCACCAAACCTCTGGTGCTAATGCCCTATCCCCATTCCCTATCTCCTCCTCTACCCCCCTACCCTATATAAATGAAAACTCATATTCACAAAAAAACCATACATCTTTAAATATTTGCCAAACACTGGATATGACAGAAATGCATTTCAACAAATGAATAAATAAAGACTCTATACATGCAGTTAAAATTGACACAACTATATACCAAGAGGAGAAAAGTCAATTTTGCTGCATGATAGTATTAAAATATAATAAATAGGCTTATTGAAGAGGGGAAGCATGAATCAGCCAATCAGGAAGTGTGGTGGAGAAAAATGTTGCATCATAGGACGTGAAAATACATAAATGTGATTGAATGTTGTTATTTATATAGAACACTAGATGATGAGGCCCCAGCTTGGCTTCATAGACTTGCATTATCCAATTTTTCTCTCATGCAAAATTTACTGAGCAATTACTAAGTGGCTACTTTGATTATTACATTATTGATAAAACCAAAATCAGATCCACTGTTTAAGAAGCCATCTACATATAAAAATCTAGATTACATGTGCATTCTTCTAGATGGGCTTCTGTATTTTGTAGTTTTTACAATCATGTGGGCATGGGTATCTTTCTTGAAGCCAGAAAAAATTCAAATGTTGAAAACTTCTTTGGGTGTAATGGAACAATCTGGTTTCAGTTATAAAGAACTTAAGATACCCCTGTAAACATTTTCACTTAGTACATTGAAACCACATTTTGCAGTATATCTTTTTGAATATCATAGTCAGCAAGGAGAATGCTAAATTAATGACAGATGCACAATTTGAAGAAATATCAGGTGTACTACAATTTTGAAAGCCATCTAATTATTATAAAGACAGTTTTTAAAGTTCATATCAATGTTCCTATAAATTTAAAAATATTATTCTCTAAGAGATTATGCAAGTTGAATTGAAATATTTAACCAATTTTTAAGTGGCACGTGAAGCAGAGTGATATTCTCACTTAAACATCGACTGAGATATATATGAATTGCTGTTATGACACACACATCACCTAGAGTATTGCATATGTGTATGAAAAGGATATGGGTTAAAATAATCCTTTTTTGTTTGTTTTTCCCCAATAGAGATTATTATAAGGCATATATAGGATCAATCAAGAAGTGATTTTGGGGCCCCAGGTCTATAATCTTTAAATTCCTTTTTAGATTCTCATTAGAAACTTGCTTTGTAACCCTGAGAAGAGGCATTTGATGTGTCACCATTTCATTGTTCTGAACTGTTTATATCTCAGCAGGAATAATGATTTGAATAGTTTGACTGTTGAGATGTGAAATCAAAGTGAACACTTGTCAAGGTCTTTTTCAGCAAAATTAAATGTTGCTAATTTAAAATGGGTCAGAGTAATATTTTTCTGTATTTTGTTCATTCTGTAGTTTAAATTTAGATCATTTGACATACATTTTTTGAATTGGCTCATTTCTGGATCATTAAACCCCATCATCAAATAGTATTTATTAAGCTTCCACTTGCCCATAGATCAAGAATGACTACTAAGCAATAGCAGTTAAGGACAAAGCATATATGCTTTCATTTTACAAAAAAATATTAAAGTTCTTCACCAAAACAAACATGTTTCTAATGGAACAAATATCATTTATTACTCCCACTTATTTCACTAACTTTTCCCTGTCATTGCTAATTCTAAAAACTATATGGAATTTTTTTTAAAGATTTATTTATTTATACAAGAACTGGAGTACAGGCTAAAGATGCGGGAGGGTGAAAGAATTCATCGGAGACATGTGAGGAGCAGAACATGCAGATGACTGAAAACACTGCTGAGGGGAGCAGCGGGTGAGACAGGAGGTCTGCTGCACCATGTGGGTATCTCCCTGGCTGACCGGGAATTGAACCCGTGCTGCAGAGGCTGCGGACAGCTTCACAAAGCTGTGCTCAACCCGCTGCACCACTGGGGGAGGCCCCTATATGGAATTTTAAAGCAACTTTTGAATTACTAGCAAATACATCAACAAATATATTTTACATTAATATTTTTGATATACTTTACTTCAGGCCAGCAGCTTTCAGATTTATTTCAGGGTGAGGAAGATGTGGACATTAAAGTTAGAAGGTGTATTCAAAGTTCAACTTATCTGTTTAATACAGACACGTCGGGGTAGGTTTTAGAAAAGGATAGTCATAAAAAGGAAAGGGAGTAAGTTGGAGACAAGAAAGCAAAGGGGAATATAAAATACCTGGAGATATATGGTCTTATAAGAACTCCCACTTGGACTGTTATTATATTTCTATTTTTGAGACTACTTTGACCTAGTTATATAGGTTAACATAGTTAACATAGTTTGACTTAGTTGATTTAGTTTGGTTAACAAAAAAAAGTATGTTCTACTCAATGCTTATTTTGATGTTATTATTAAATCTATTTCTCTGCTGGCTATGTAATTACATTTTGTTGCTTATTAGTGGGGTCACCAGATGGTACATAAAGAAGGAAATTTGCTTCACCAACTCAGTTTTGTTCATCTTGGGTTGTGCAATATGATAGAGATGATGAAAAGTACTATCTAAATGTAAATGTCCTATATCTTTTATCTAGTCGCATATATTCTGTGCTCTATTAAGAGCAAACAAAAATTAACTACACATTTTAAAAAATAAATCCAGTGATAATAACTAGCGGTCTCTCTCCCTTACTGAGACTATTTCTGAAATTGATGATTTGAATAGTTATCTATAATATATTAAACTTATAGTAAATTGTTATTGTTCAATTAGAAAGACAAAACTTGATCTATTAATGGGTTCTTGTGTGTACTCATTTATTTATGCATTTGTTTCCGAAATGTTAAAATATTGTTAAGCATCTAAATTATTTTTATCTTTTCTGATATTCACTGCACAGCAATTCAAAGATATCTATCAAGCTTCTTCCTGAAAATCAAAGTAACAGAGGAGGAAACATTGACCTGAGGGTGACAAGTTTATGATTTTCATAACTGGGACCTACTTTGAAACTTTGTGTCCATGTTTTATTCTATTTAAATAGTCTTTCACATTTCAGATGGCTATTAAACTTGAATTATATATAATCATAGCTCATTGTCTGAAATTATTTCTTTTTAGGTAAACAGGATTATAAAAAAACCAAACCCATTTTACGAGCAACAAAATTAAAAGCAGAAGCAAAGAAAACAGCAATAGGCATAAAGGTACCTGTATTTGATAATTTTAAAATTTGCAGTAATGAATGCCATTTTATTTTCTAAATCTGGATTGCATAAATGTTGAATTCTAAAAGTTTTATGACCTTTCAAGATCCAAGTTGAATGCCAGAACTGAAGATTTTCATAAGGAATTTACTTAATGGAGAAGTATCCTTTTTGTCCTGAGAGATCAACAGGTCTTAAATTAAACACAATGTCACTTAAGAGAACTAGTTATATATAAAGTTACATTTAATTTTTTCCTGCTACTATATACATTATTCAAACATTTTGATGATTTATGTGGCTTGAATCAAAAACTCATTTTCAATAAATTTCACTTTATAATTGTTAATTTTAGTTGTAATTGCATATGCTTGGATCATTAATATGTAATTTTACACTGTGTATATTTTTTAAAGATTTATTTATTTATGTATACAAGAACTGGGGTACAGGCCAGAGGTCCAGGGGTGAGAGGATTCACCAGAGACAGAGTGGGGAACAGATCAGACAGACTGACTGAAATACACTGCTGTGGTGAGCAGTGGGTGAGACAGGAGAGGTCTGCTGTGTCATGTGGGTAGCAACCTGGCTGGCCGGGGATCCAAATTATGCTGCAGTGGCTGTGGACAGCTTCATAGTGCTGTGCTTAATCCCTTACGCTGCCAGGGAGGCCCTTTCTGTATTATCACTGTCCTCTATTTTGAAATTCTAAATGATGTTCCTAAATTTGTTATTTTAGAAAACCAGGTTTTGACTGGCTAAGAGGGCTAAGTGAAGCTGAGGATGATGTTAATAGATATTAATCCAATATGCTAGTGAAGTGCAACAAAATTACATTTATATTGTTACCCAATGTCAACTCTTTGCCAAGTATTTAGAGTTGAATTAAACTATAAATAGAAAAAATAATTTGGCAGCACTACTGGTAATGTGTAAAATTAAAGTGACTAGCATATATATTATATTTAAACATTGAAATGTTAAAAAGAGATTTTGGTTTTTATCTGGCAGATGAAAAATCAATTTTTCTAAGTTATAACTTGTAGCAAATGCCAAGGTATTACTACCAAGCTGGAACAGCTGTTGAACTGCCAGATGATATATTTGGTTGTCTTCCAGAATTTGCTATTATGATCACTAAACATTGCCTTCTTTTTACTCCTGATTGCTGATTTTGATCAAGCATTGCTGTGTGATGCGTATGTTTTCACAACACAATCTTTTCAGTTAATGCTATGTCAGTTTGTAATGAAAAATATTAAATTGTCTTTTTGTTTAAAAGAGAGATGATTAATCTTTTGATGTTTTTTTCTAATTTCATGTGAAACTTCATCTTCAAAATTATTTCCAGAACATGACCTATCTGAAAACAACGTCTTGTTTTTATTTTACAACTAATTACTTGATAATTGTCTCTTGTGAGAGAGTCTCGTTATTTTCCACCGTGGCAGTATGTCACCACTCTCTTCCACAACGTGGGATTCTTATTTTGGGGATTTTTTTTTTTAAGAAAAATATTGTATAGCAAACTCCACTCATAGCATGGTACACTGAGCAGTGTAATTTAGTATTCAGAAATCATGTAACCATTCTTTTATTTATATACTACTTTCTTATAACCCATACTCTTTTTCACTTGTTCTTACAATTTTTGCTATTATTTTAATTTGAGGAAATAGTTATGTTCCCAGGATGAGATAAGTCTACCTCATAGTGTAATTGTCAAATGGCTCTTATGAAACAATGTAGAATTTATCTTTCTATCAGAAAAAATTTTTCTTAGATTTCACTTATGATTTAAAGTATGTACAAGAGTTTCTGACATCAGACTATAGCTCCTTTTTTAGCAGGTTGACATATTTTGACTTATAAACCTGTGGAAAACAAAAACCATAATTTTAAACATTGTTTACTTTGCTTAAAAAATTTTTTATGAGGAGCCATTAAAATGATATGAAATATTTTAGAATCAGAACCATGAAGGTGTTTTACATTTCAAATCTGGCATACTAATTAGTTTGCCCTGTCAAACTTTGATTGCCTTGTCATTTTAGCATAGGATTTTAAATAACAAAGTTTCTTTCAGCAATTGCCATTTTATGCTATTTAATTTCCCCAGTGAGTGATTTTATCTGTATTGATAATGTCAAAGAAGCAACTAAGGACTAATAAACATCAAACATCTTTGACTCTTATCTATTTGATAGAGGATGACCATAATATTCTAATATTTTATCATGACTATTCTTTAGAATGAGTCATAGTTATACTCTTAGAATAATTTAAATCTACAGAAAATATAAAGAGCTGCATGAAATAGAAGAAAAATCAGTAACAACAACATTGAATACAAAATAAAGAGGCCTAGGGTCACTTCCTCTTGCCTCTAACTGTTCCCATGACTTAGCAGACTAAGCTGGCACATTTGTAAATGGAGATTATGCCATTTACCTCAAAGTATTGTCAGGAGGTTTAAACAATGCATTGAAAACACTTAACATTGAACCTAGCATATAGAAGTCATTTGTCAATTGTTAGTTGATTGAAAAAGTATTTCTTGAAATTGGCCCTAAAGATCCCCTTCTTTAAGTAAATCTGCATTGCTTGACTCTCTCTCTCTCTCTCTCTATATATATATATATATAAAAATAAAGGGAAACTTTGGTAATATACATATATTATATATATATTTATTGTGGAGATTGTATAATGGATATTGCTATTATAAAGTTTTGCAAAGCATTATGTAATTTTAATATACATGTATGAACAGTAAATACATCATATTTAGTCCTTCATTATTTATTAAAAAGTTACAATCAGTATTAGATTGTTGTAGAACCTGTGGAAAGATGAATAAGATATGATCATCTTGGAGGAATTTGTTGAAAAAAATCACCGTCAAATTTAATTACCATATCAAATTAGCAATATTGATTGAGAAATCATGTACTGTAGATGTAAAGAATTATGCACAATAGGGTCTTTACCCTCAAAGACTTCCAGTACTTTTTTGTTGTAAATATATGTTTAATAATAGAAAATACTTTGAGGAAAGAGTTAATGATCAATATAAGATGTGTCAAAATAAATGTGTAAAAATGTAGAATTGATTTTTATTGAGAAACTATATTTCCTATATCTTACAAATAAAAATAAAATGTCATAATTTATGATCCTGTAATTAAATGCCACCTAAAAGCATTTGCACAACTAACGTGTGATATTTGGTTGCTGTTTATTTAGAACATTGTTTTTTAAGAACTACAACACAATTAAGATTTTTTTGGTTGTTTTGTTGTATTTTGTTCAAAATATCCATGTTTTCTCGTAGTTAGAAGGAAAAAGAAAATCCGTTAAATTGTTGTATAAATGGTTTATTTGCAAAGAATAAGGATCGAAAATTTAGTTGTTACATAAGTAAAATAATCAAGTGTCAAACAGATCCTGCTAACAACCCTTTGGAATGAACCAGCTGGAAATATTACTTTTGGCCTTTTTTATTAGTTCTAAATTAAAACTGAAAATGGCTAAGGGGTAGAGGGAGTAAAAACATGCCTATAGGGCTCTAAGTTAGGTTAGTGTCACCAGCATTCTAAAAGCAATATTTTCAATTTTACCATTATTTTAACTTTCCAAAGATTCAATCTCTGCAATACTGATCTCCTCAATAGAATAGGGACATTTTGAAAAAATAATTTACTATACCTCACCACCTAATTTTTTTTAAGCCACCAGTCCCTGGACTGTACACGATATATACTGAATTGGATTAATGAATCCCCTGAAGTTGTATACTATGAATATTCTCTGCTTCCTGCCCTTAAATCTTTTTGTGTGTGTGTGCCTCTGGATAGTCTGAAAATGTACAGTGAAGGTGATGTGGAGTTATTTTAAAGGACAAGAATTTCAAAAACAGCAATTAAAAGTAATTTTCAATGAGATGAGAATGGTGGTCTCCAATCAAGAGTAAAAACTCTATTCTTGCATTAAGCTTATACGAATGGTGATTGCTGGTGAACGATTTTGTTGTCCACTCTACAGAACAGATGGAGTTTGCAGTTGTGTGTCACTTGTTTATTACATCCTCTTAAAATTAGTAGCTGTGTAGCCAGATGGGTCTGGGAGCACAGCTGTGGATATAAGAATATAAATGAAACCTGTCTGATATGGCCATGCCCTTTTGAGATGCCAAAGTGTTGCAGTTGCAACAAAGAAAAATTCATTTTCATTTAACATTATATTGATATATTCAGTTTAAAAAAATCAAATCTTACAAAAATAGTTGACATGGTCTCTCAACCCCATGTTTTTCATTAAATGTTTATTTTCATAGTTTGGAAATCTAAATACATGTATTTGTGAAGCTAAAACTATAAGAAGTATCCATTTATAATTTCATCATCCAGGTAAAAATTCCACATTAACTATAAACCAAGTTCATCTTAATTTTAAAATTTATTAGGTGACATGTTTTTAGTGATTAACTTTACATTATTATGAGACATAAAATATATTCATATAAATGCAAATAAATTGCTTCTCCATAAAATAATGCTAGGAAAGTATGGAATACACAAGTGAAAATTAGAAGGGAATGTTAGGCCCTTTAGTACTACACTGTCACAATTTGCTATTGCTTTTTAATCAAATGATATGTTAATATTGATACTATTCCTTCATACACACACACACACACACATGAAACTTACAGACTCTGAAAAATGATATGATCTTTTGCTATTATATCAGTAGTATATTTGGGAGATAGTATTTCAATATAATTGATTAATGTAAGCCACATCAAATCATCAAATGAAATATCAAGAATCATCCATCACAGTTGTGATAAATTATACTGTATCATGTTTCATTCATGTAGTGCTCAGTTTTGTTTCCCCATTATAGAACTATAGAATTTAGAATTAAAAAATTAGTGTTTCATCAAAATAACATTTAATAAAGATGTTTTCAGAGACACAATATTATTATAGCAGTTTATATATATAGCAGTTTATATATAGCAGCTCCATTATAAAAGGAGCGATTTTTTTTAAATCGTTGTCCAAATGCTATAATAGTACATATTGAAGCAACAAATGCAGTTAACATACTCAAGCAGAGAATAGATAAGCTGGAAGCACAAACTATATTGCTTGCACCCAACATTTTGATATCCAAGCTATGAAAAATATTAAAATTATAAACTTTAATTTTGCTGCTTGAGAAAATACAAAAAAATAGAAATGATTCATCCACTCATGTAAGTGCCATGCTACAGGCACTGTCAAGTACAAGTTTCTTCATTTAATGGAGAAAGATAGTAAATGAAAAGATTGTGATAATCAATATATAATTAATCATTGTATATGTTATGATTATTTTATCTGATGAAACTGTGAATATTAAGCAGTCCTTTTTATCAATACAAATCTATTTTTTTCTTCTTCAGGAAGTTGGCCTTGTACTTGCGGCTATTTTGACCCTCCTAGTGGCTTTCTATGCTTTCTTTTATCTCAGACTCTCCACAGATGTTGACCCTGATCTGGAACCAGATGAAGATTAACTGAGGAGCAATCAATGCATGAAACAGAAATAATTTTATAAAAGCATCCACTGGGACCAGTGCTCTCTGAAATATTGAAACTGTAACATCTTGAATTCTTTCTGCTGTTATTTTCAATTTGCAGAAATATCTTTTTAAATAGTTTCATAGGTTATCAAGAAAAACTTCCCTAGCAATGTAATGCAATGTATGTTACTGGATACTTTTATAAATCTTTCTACTATGACAGGCAACCTATTCATGGTGCATTTAGATAAAATGGAAAACAGATCCTAAATTCTTTGGATGTCTTAGCCAATTTATGTGTATAACTCCATCACTTACAGATTACTAAATTTATTTTTGTTCCATAATCATCATAAGTAAAACTATATATCCTCATTTACAGAAACACACTCAAACCACATTCAGAACCTCAGAAGGAGTGAAAAGTCAAGGGAAAATTTTCATGTTACAAAGAAGTGTTGCTTTCTTTCCAGACGTATTTTATATCATTAGAGACACTATCTGCACATACATCTACAGTAATCTTTTTCCTTCTTTGCCAACTGTTCGGTGCACATGTGCTCCATCAGAAATGGCACCTGGATGACAGAAGCTCAAAGAGTCACATATGTCTCTAAACTAGAGCTCCTTTCCTCTTGGGCTGCCTGAACTGGTGTGAATAGAAAGTTCAGTTGATCCTGATTTTAATTAACTTATTACCCTATTAATATAAACTTGGAATTCTATTTTAATTATGTTGTTCTGGCTGCTTGCGGTATCAGTTTGCCCCTCTTGTTAGGGAGATGTGTAACAATCTGTCATTAAATGGTGCAGTCTTTTTCACACAACAGTAATAGCAGAAGTCCTACCTACTCAAAATCATTTTCTTGGGTTGTCTCTTACATCTGAACAATGATGTTTTACTACATTAAATTTTGTCTGAAAAGTTAAGCAATTAGAACTCTTTCATGAAAAATAAACAATAGAATAAAATACCTCATATTACTCACATATGTAGTATTTTGTTTATGTAATTTTTCAAGGTAATTTGTATTCATTGGAGTGTAATAACCAATATATTCAGTTCTTTTAAAAAAAACTGAAAATGGTCGTTGAAATTATTTTTAGAATACATGAACACAAAACTTAGAAATGGGAAAATGGCAAAGTTATTATATAAAGATCTATAGAAACTGAAGAGTTTGAAATGTGTACAAAGTGTTTTATAACATATACTTTGTATTTACGAAGAGTAAATAAAATATTAGCAATCATTTACATAGTGGCCAAAAGAAGAAAGCTTTGATAAATGGCCTAAATATTCTTTGAGTACTTTTGCAAAACAGTTGAATATGACTGTAGCATTATGTAGAATTTTTTCAAGTAGCATAATATATTTCCTCAGTGTGAAAACGGCAAAAGTTCCAATATCCTCACAAATCATTTATGCCAGACATCTGAGGAAAAAATTTAACCAGTGTTATTTACTGGATTCTTCTCCTTTGAAGTCACAAACTCAAGAGCAGACCAAGAGTTCTTACACACTCACCACAGTGGGCCAATCCAAGTGGCATTTTTAGGAAAGGTTGCAGCATTTAATGCCATGTGGTATGTCTGTTCGTGAAGTGGGAGGCAGGGGGATATCCAAGCTGGCATTTTGGATATGATGGGCCTTTTACTTTCCTGAGTGACATGCCACATGTCAAGAAATACTGCTTTTCCCCACTCCTATCATATTTACGTGAACAATTTTCATTTAGTTATTTCCCTTCCCATATGGTGTTAAAAACAGTCATATTAAATAAAGATTATATCTAATTTCAGTAGTAATTTAAATGAGAGATATATAATAACTGCTTATTAGAGCCCTATCCAAATGAGATCTAAGAGAATTTATAGTACTTAAAATAGATGATGATATTCTTGGAAATGTTTGAAAATTCATTACCCCGAAAAATCTTTACCATTCTGTTCTATTCTTTCGGTATTCTTTTGGGGAATAAAATGTTTCTGATAGTAATAAATGCTAATATAAACATAGTATAATTATAGGCAAGTTTCATTGCCTAGAACTCGGTCTATGGCAAGTCCTTTTGTATGACTGATTGACTTATGATGGCTTCACAGAACCATAAATCCCAAATGCTAAATAAACCATGATTTTAATAAATAGCAGGTAAAGTGAGACAACGTATGTTTACACAACACTGTTTTCGAGAAATGCAAATTTTTCAGACTTACATCAACTGGGTAGCAGCCAATCCTCTGTGGAGAAATCCCAGATTGAAGTCTGGTTTGACTCTCTGGTGACAGAGAGGCGATATCTGGTCTGCTGTTTCAGGGGACCACACTTTTGAATGGTGAGTAGTGTTTGGCATACATCTTAGACTGGCACCAGATACAAACTTTTAGGCACGGGTTTTTCCCCTCCAATAATTTTCTGCTCAGAGTAATTCAGAAGACACAAACAGAAAAATTATCATGACTTTTCAGAATGTTAAAATCTAATCAGACTTCACAGACTCTGCAGAATAAATTTCAACAAATGAAGCACACTTAACATATAGCCCATGAAAATACTGTGAATGAGTCTTGAAGGGTTGCTGGGTCTTATTTGGCATGCAAAATAAAAACTATATAAATTGATTTGAGAGGAGATATTGTTAAAATACAACTTTTTATCTAGAATTTTTTTAAAAAAACACATGAACAAAAAGCTTATGTTAGTACCGATTTAGGGACTTAAGGAAGCAAGTACTTGAAGACTTTCTATCTTTTCAGTTTTCCATAAAGATGGAAGAAATGTTTTGACCTCAACCAATGATTGTAATGTCCTGACACTGTGTTCCTGTTCACTTCTGTAATTCTAATAGTGTGGTGAATGCATATCAGAATTTAAGTTAATCTCTTTTCCTCCTTTCAGAGTCTGACAGTTTTTTATGTTGTAGGTGATCAAAAGTCTTTTGCATTTAATAAATAAAACTTTAAAATCACAATAATGATCAGCTCTTAGCCTATATGGTCTTTGATTGTATTGAGGCATATATATATATATATATATATATATATATATATATATATATATATGTTTCATCTTCGATCTCTTTCAGATCAAGATAACTCACATTAAATTTTGTGTGGAACAAAAATACTTCTCTAGGAAATCAAATATGCAGTTTTATTTTAGTATTATTAAAAAACACACTCAATGTTTTAAATTTAACTTAACGTACATCTTAACTCCCAACTAAAATATAACTAAATTTTCATTATAGTGTTTATATTTTAATGCATACTGAAGCACTGTATTTTCAGATTTAAAATTATATAGGCAATGATAATACAGTGAGTGAATTATGCTTTTAATAAGCTTCAGAAATAAACTTCTAGAAATTAAACTTAAATTTTAATAGATTTTATCTGTGGCATATGGTTGTTGAGCCTTAAATTTTGATGTCTTTCATCCCTAACATAAGGTTGTGGAACCAGAGACTAAAATAAGTTTTTATTTTCTCTTTACCATCAATTAGATTTCTTAACACTTACCTGAAGCTTCTCTGGGGAGATGCTACCACTTTTCCCTTAGCAACACTTGCTTCTTTTATTACAATTGCTTCAAGCTGGCCTGGATAGAATGATGTTCACTAGATTTTGTTCCATTAGCACCACAGCTAGAATCGGTTCAACCCACAGTTCAAAACATAATAATAATTGTAGCAGTTTAATTCAGTACCTACAGAAACATTTTTCTACAGGTTTTGGCTATAAAGGTACATATACGGGAAACTGGGAGAGTCACTTAAAACACTATGTCAATATGGAAGTATCCACAGTGGGTCAGTAAATTGATTTAAAACAATTAAACTGCTGTATTCAGTAGAGCCTCCTTGTTAAACAATTTTTTTTAATCCCTAGCAACAGACATGAGATCCTTGTTTCAAGAAAAATAAGATACTTTACATGCCAGAAGATTTTTTGATGACAGTACCCCCTCCTATTCTTCATTTTTAAAAACAACAACCAAATTGGTGGGGAGGCAGCCAAAATCTGAGGTACCAATGCCTCTCGAACAGATGTCGCACCATTATTTTTTAGCTCGTTTAGATGAATAAACATGTTAAACTGTGAAGTATTACATTTTAGATTTTTTCATTAAAAAAAGAGACAATCTGTTTACTGTCCTAATTGAGACAACAATCCTTGTGGTTGCCAGTTTTGGCAGTCATAACAATGAACTATAAATATTTGGACCAACCAAGTAAATGGTGACTATAAAGGCTATAGCCTGTATAGAGTTCTGTTTGCACGGGCAACCATTTTAGTGTGGCTTTTGTTTTTTCTAACTCCTTCAAATACAATTGTTAGTGTCACACTGAACTTTCATGGTAAGCCTAAAAGACATTGACTTGAATAACTAATTTTGTTCGAGTTTGTCATCCTTTTTGGTACTTGGTTATCCTTCTGCTCGTAACAAATTGTTTTCTGCAGTTGCTCTATTGAATGTGGCAGGGCAGTTCTTCCTGAGATTGTCTTCTCTGTATATCCTAGGATAACAAAAAAATTCAGAGACTTTACCCCCATTTTCATATTATTAAAATTGTATGCATAAATAAATAAATCTTTAAAAATGGAATTAAAGATATTTTAAAAGTCTCTTAATTTGCAGCAATTTTTTTTTTCTAAGGAAGGTTTTATAAATCAACAATGGCCAGAAGTAACTCTCGCCCTGATGGCCATGAGGAGGTCAGAATCTTGGGTCCTATTAGAGTGCTTTCCATTAAACAATAGCATGGAGAGGTTGATAGACCAAATAGAAATAATCCAGGAATAAAATATTATTTACTACATTATTTCTTAAAGAATTTGTGATCCAGATAGCCAATACCCTTCTTATTTGAGTACTCTTGTTGCTTTCTCCTACTCTTCATCTTCTTCCCTATCTGCTTCCATTCTAAATTCCGGGGAATCCCTTACATTTCTTCTCTCACTTGGTATGAACCTGACTTCTATTTTGCCATATTTAACTCTATACTCCTATATTAACTGCCTCACTCATTACTTTGAGTCATCATTTATCCTCACCTTTCCCATCATCTCTTAATTCATACCTATCACTTACTACCAACTGCATGTATTACATAAAACTGGAGAATAGTATGGTGAACCTCAATCTATCCATCACCTAGTTTCAATTAGCAATATTTTGCCACACTCATGTATTTCTCCCACTTTTTGTAACCTAAGACATTTTATTTTATTTTTATTTTTTGTTAAAGATTTATTTCTTTATGCATACAAGAGCTGGGGTACTGATCAGAGATGCAGGGGGTAGAGGATTTACCAGAGACAGAGTGGGGAACAGAACATGCAGAGTGACTGAAATACACTGCTGAGGGGAGCATCAGGCGGGACAGGAGAGGTCTGCTGCGCCATGTGGGTTGCTCCCTGGCGGGCCGGGGATCGAACTCATGCTGCAGTAGCTGCAGATTATTTCATAGTGTGGTGCTTAACCCCTTGAGCCACCAGGGAGGCCCCAACCTATGGCATTTTAAATGCAAGCCTCATATATGACATTTTACTTGTAAATATCCAGTATGCATTTCTGATAAGAGCTTTGGTTTTCTTTTATTTTTACACATTACCAAGAAGCTATTATTACAGCTTATGTAACTTAGTAGTTATTTCTTAATATCATTTCAATCCAAGTCTTAAATTCAAATCCTTGATTGTGCCTGAGGCATCTATTTGTAACAGTTTTTTTTTTTTTTTTTTAAAGATTTACTTATTTATTTATACAAGAACCTGGGTACAGGCCAGATGTGCAGGAGGGTGAGAGGACTCACCGGAGACAGAGCGGGGAACAGAACAGGCAGACTGACAAAATACACTGCTGAGGGGAGCAGTGGGCGAGACAGGAGAGGTCTGCCATGTGGGACCCTCGCCCGGCTGGCTGGGATCAAACTTGTGCTGCAGAGGCTGCGGACAGCTTCACAGCACGGTGCTCAACCGCCTGCACCACCGGGGGAGGCCTGTAATAGGTTTTGAATTAAGATCTGCACTATATTTTATTGCATGGCTGTTGAATTTCACTTATTCTATAACAAACCATTTTTTTCTTACACACCATTGATTTGTTGAAGAACTGTTATATATCCTTTCGAATATCCAACACTCCAGATCTGTCTTTTTTCACCATGTCACTCATTTTATTGCTCTTTTTTTCTGTAAATTGTGGATTAGGTCTTGGACTAGATTAGAACCAGACGGCTTTGTTGGTATTTGCTTTTAAGGCACGAGTACTTCATGGTACAAGACAAGGCACATAATATCTGTTTTTCTCAGCTATATGGTGATGATATTTATCGATGGGTTTGCATACTAGTAATCTGATTCCCTCCAAAATAAAGTTTTACATTAATGTTTCACCTAAAGTTTTTTCCATTCATTCATGATTATTTCCTAGGTCCATTATCTCATCAGACATTGCAAAATGTGTGGTTTTCTGTCTTTTCTGCAGCTGTTATTCAGCGACATTATTTAAAAATATTTACCAACTATTTTATTATCTTAAAATACAGCTCACATTGGGGCTTCCCCTGGTGGCACGGGCTTTTGAGTGCCGCGCTGGTCCCACATGGTGCGGCAGACCTCTCCTGACTTGCCCACTGCTCCCCTCAGTAGTGTATTTCAGTCAGTCTGCCTGTTCTGTTTTCCGCTCTGTCTCTGGTGAATCCTCTCATCTTCCCGTCTATCTGGCAGTACCCTGGCTCTTGTATAAATAAATGAAAAAAAAAATTGAGCTCATACTGAAAAGAAAGTATAAAACTTGAATTATTTGCCCTTATCAAATTTTAGAGTAATGTGTTAACACTCTTTCCAATGGAGATTTGTCATTGCTATTCCTGTTCTTGCTTTTATTGTCATAATAAAATCGTAGTTTTTTTTTTAATTTCAAATGTTTTGTTTTTCTTATAACCTTAAAGTAGTGTATTTTTAAGCCATTGCAGTCATGATTCTTTTTATTACTGAACCAGGAATTTCACTATCATGTTTACTATTAGAGAAATTCTCATTAAAATCATGAATGCAACTTTTAAGCTCTTACATGCTTTACATTTTTCTGAAAGTGATATCCAGTGCAAAAATATTTTCGAAACAACAGGAATGGGTTTTGACTAGAAATCTAGGAAAATACTGGCTAAAATTTATCATGCTCCTTTAGAAAATGCCTTTGTGAAAATCAGTTGCTTTATCTATCTAAGCAATTACAATAATTAGCTAAATATCATAATAAGATGTAAAGCTCTCTTTCATAATTGCAATCAAAACTATGAACTGTCTTGGAAAAATGATTAAGAAATATAAAGATTCTCTATTGGAAAAAAGAACTTTCTTGAGTAACATAAAAAGATTTTAATAAAAAAGAGACCAACTGTCTTCCTGGATGTGATGATTCTATACTGTAAAAATATGAAATCTCTTCTAATCTAGAAAGAGAAAGGAGAACTTTAATCCACCAGATATTGACTAATATTACAAAGTTATAATAATTAAAGTGATACCATGCTTAAGAAAATAGACTAAACAATAAAGAATGTTTAGTGTCCAGAAATAGATTTAAATGTAACTACTCATGAAGTCATAAAGATGGATAGATTATTTATTGAATGTTTTGAAAATGTGAGTATCCATTTGGAAATTTAAAGATGCTTATATCATGACTTAATATGAGATAAATTTTTGGTGAAATTTATGGTTTCTATATAAGAAATACAACTATAAACAGTATAGGGAAAAGATCATAGATATTTTTAGAAACTTTTGCTACAGCAATTATTTCTAGTCATTGATTCATGAGTCAGAAAACATAAAGGAAATATTGTTGAACTATAATGCATTAAATCAAAACATAACACATAGCCTGCACCCCATATTAATTAAGGATGTAAGGAAACAATCTCTTTCATATATTACTTGGAGGACTCGTAATCTCACACAGTAATTGGAGGAGTTTTGGAGTGGTTTTTTTTAAGAGCCTTAAACTTCATGTTTGTGTCAGAAA